CATACAAAACAATCTCTTAATCCTTGCAGTACAGGGTTTTCCCCACTGAAAGGGTAAGTTGTTTTTTTTAATCCCTGGAGTTCTTTAATACGATGTGTCTATACAGACAATGCAGATGGGGCAGCTTCTCTGTACTATCGCAGTCCTAGTCAATGTCAGTCAAACATATGGAGATCTGTGAGAGAGGTGCTGGATATGTCAATATTTTTCTTTTCTTAAGAGTGACAGATGTTTATGGAGAGGCTGTTCCTACACAAAACAAGGGACACTTTGCCGTCCACTAACGATCATGTGATCACTATGTTGTAAAGTGACGTAAAATGATCACATGCAAGCTAAATACTTCACTCAAGGAAAAAAAAAAATGGTTTCAGCTTGCAGCTTGCCTATAGAAGGCAGTGTGCCTCTGTTTAATACTGTAATTGTCTAATACAACTATAATAATAAAATAACGATAATGAATACATATATGTAGAGCAGGGGTCAAAATTTCCACTCGCCCCCTCGCAATTGGCGAGTGAAAATTGCGTGGGGGCGAGTGGAAATCCACATACTGACATTGCTAAATTTGGACTGAGCATCTAGGTTTCAATGACGACGAAAATGACCCCTTCTGGTCAAGTAAGGGTTAAAAAGCATTTAGACTTTCTCTGCATATAGAAGGAGGCAGTTTCAGTCCTTTCTCACAACACCAAACAGCACATAGTTACAACAGATACAAGAAACATGATCCCCAGTGTTTGAACAGATATGATATTCTGAAACTTAAAAATAAATCTAACCCAAAAAAGTCCTCACCATTTGCGTCAGGGACGTGGTCCTCGGGAAGTGTTGCAGTCGTGGGTTCGTTAAGTAATGTTGATAGTGCTGAGGAACAGGTCTGACCTGGAACTGCGCATGTGGCAAACCAGCATCCACACTGAGGTCCCTGGAAGAGATAACAGGGTTAATTGGGTTGTCACTTTAATAGGCATGTCATGTAAAATTCATGTTGTTTTTCTAAATGCAAGAGGTGTATGTATCTAAATCTGACTTGGTATCAGCCTGTTGCATTCTACTGTACAGTCTGCACAGCAGAGCTCAGAGAGGGGAGGAAGAAGCAACACACGGAGGCAAACCGGTGAGCT